AAATATATATATACATATTAGGTTCTATATAAAAAAATTATTTAGAATTAGCCATTGTTTTTAAATGAACTACTTGCGAACTAAGCAGATCTATGTTCATGATTTATGATACCTGGGCCCAGCGGCAAATCCGACGGGCAACACGGAGGCTCCTAACACTGCAGCAATCCTGATTAATCCATTGTTCGAGTTCGATTGTGCAAGTTGTTGAGGAAAATTGACCAAAAAGGTGGCGAATAGCACTGGTATCATCATCATGGCTTGACTTCCGAGTCAAGACTGGGAGGACGAAGACATTCAAGGCGAAGCCTAGGATAACGGAACCTTGTTCGAGGTCACGGCATACTTTTCATTGTGCGTGTGTGCATGTATCGTAAGTAACGTACGTTCGCCTGGTACAGGCGACTTTTTTGCAAACTCATCGCGTCATTCGAGTTCAATACCCTCTGTGGATGAGAAGCGAGGCTGAAGAAAGTAGAGAGAAAGGGCCTTCTCCATAATAAATTATTTCGAAAATCTGAGGAGAGTCTTCTAAGATACTTCTCCGAGCCAACTATAAGTAATTATTTATAAATAGTTTTTTATTCGAGTCTTGTTTTTCGATAAATTAATTTTTTCGAATTTTGAAATATCACAGAAAATTAGCAACTCAAATTTTCAAATGTTATTTTTATAGTTAAATTAATGGAACTATTTTTAAAACTTATTAGAAATTATATTTATGCCAAACCTATAAAACTATTGGAGGTACAAATGGAACTTGCATTAAAATTTGCGATGCAGAAAGATGAAATATCAACTTCACACATGTCTCGATTTATGGATCTGTAAAATTAGCATGACATTCTATTAATATAAAAAGAATAATGACAGTTTTAATATCTCTCTCTCTCTCTCTCTCTCTCTCTCTCTTTCTCTCTTTTCATAATTCTAGAGTTCCTTGTAAAAATGAAAAAGCATTATACTAAAAATGAATATATACTAACTTCGCAAATCTAGCACGACATTTACTTTTCTAAAGTACAAGAAAACGATAAATATTATTTTTAGTAAGGGAAACCGGGGCTGGTTATTATGGAGTTAATTGTCAAAATATTTATAACTCAAACAGGACAGAAAATAGCTCTTTTTTTTACTGTTTACTTAAATTGCTGATGTAATTTTAATTTGTTGTGTAAAATAATTTGCACCATAAGCATTGTATGTTATTTTATTTACGAACATGAGTTTTTAAGAACATGAAGTTGGTGTGTATTTTTCTTATCATCTATTTTGTTGTCTGACAAGTCTTTGGCATTATTAATCGCGATCTCTGTATTCATAGATAATAATATGTCTTAGAAGATCTGTTCTACAATTAATTAATCATTATCCTGACAAAATTTATGAATACAATCTTTCTTATTAAAAATTGTTTTATGTGATTATGTAATATGTGTGAAATTATGTGAGGTAGATTGATCAAAATGAGACGAGGTGACAATTAATTTTAATATAACACATTTTCAGAAAATATACTTACAAATATATGAAATATATTTCATATAGATTTATGTTTTTTCATTTTTCATATAGAAACTACGGTACAAAAACAAATTACATATTTTATAATTAAACTAACTATTTTATTTGTATTAATACCATAATTATTATTATTTTTTAAAATATAGAACTGATATTAAAATAAAAATTGTATTTTTTATATGTATTGCCTATAACAAATATGCTATTATCAATCTTAGAACATATGACAATCAACTCAGAACACGGAGTTGTTAATTGTCACATTTTCACAGCTTCATAAATAATTTACGATATGATGAATTCACGAGTAATATTTTTTAATATCTAAAGGATGTAGGTATATTATAACGTATATAATATTTCAAAATCCGGCATTCATTTTTTTCTAAAAATCACTAATCAAAAACTATGATCTCGGTCCTTCCTTATTCGAATGTTTCATTAGTACTACTCGAATTCTATCAATAGAGTAAGATTAAATAAGATAGTCATCTTTAAAGTGCAAAAAGCATTATTTTAATTTTTGTTATCTTTAAGTATTACATTGATATATGTTTTTCGAATATCGGAAATAATATCATATATAATATATATAATTTGAAAAGCTATGTATCGACGCCTGAACTGTAGAAGGTACTATATCGAGAAAAATATGAAGAAAGATATGTCAAGAAATGAATAAAAAGTAGTTTTGCACAAGGCGTGAAGATTGGTCTATGTACACATATAAAGTACGGTTCATATCGAGAAAGCAAGAAGAACAGTTCAAGTAGCATGAAATTAAAGAAAAAGTTAGCACAATATATATTTTCTTCTCATAAATTTTATAGTAGTGAAAACGGGAATTGTCTTGATTCTCGATCCTTTTTCGTATTTATTTATCCATATATTATTTAATTTTTCGTAACTAAATTGTGTAATTTATGAATAGTGAATATAACGTTATATGAACCTTTCTTTAATTCAATGCGGCTTGAATCATTCTTCTTTTTTTCTCGATATAAATCATACTTCGTAGGCGTTCCGACATAGACCGGTCTTCACGCCTCACGTGAAATAGACCACTTTTTATTCATTTCTTGACACAGAATAATTTTCTTTCATACAAAGAATTTTCTTTGACAAAGAAGAATTTTCTTCATTTTTTTTCGATATAGCACTTTCTACGGTTCAGAGGCGTCAGTATATAATTTCAAAATAGTTATCATTTTTTATATATTTTAAACAAAAAACAGTATGATACTTTTTCTTCAAGCTTCTATATTTAAAGTGTATAAAAAATAATTGTTGAAATAGTAATTATTGGAATTTTTAATCAATCAATCAAATTATATTGGTAGAATTCGAATAGTAATTAACAAGAATTGTTGTCAAAAGTAGTAATTTATTCGTTTTCTTGTATTTTAGAAGGGGAAGTATCTAAGTTCACGAAATAACATATCATATTTTCATTGTTTGTTTTTTCTTTTATATAAAAAAAGGCAAAACTTTTTTTATTTTTATAAGGAATTGTAGAGAGAGAGAGAGAGAGAGAGAGAGAGAGAGAGAGAGAGAGAGAGAGAGACAGAGAGAGAGTGCTTGGAATTATCATTTTTTTTATATTAATAAAAATGTAGTGCTAACAGATTCTATGTAAAAAAATATGTAACATAAAATAAAGAAGAATTTTTGGTCTTGACTATATATTTATTTATTTATTTATTTATTTATTTAGTTACGAATAATATAATACAAATATTATACACGACTGCAGCTATGTATTTACAAATAAATATTTGGAGTTCAACACTGCTTGTCAATTTTCGGCGATAGGAACTCTTAGAATTCAGTCTATTCGTTGCATTACATTGAGCTAGAACAGCGTTCATATAATTATACCCCATTATGTAAAAAAGATGTCCAAGAGTTTGTAAAATTTTAACTAATATCGCTATTTTCTTATTCACTATTCGTATATCTTATAATACTAAGCTCACTTTGTACATTCGATCTTCCAACATCCTTTGTCTTCGCACACATAATTATTTATAACAAAATACTATTTACAAAAATACTATTGAACATTTAATTAGCATACGAATCAATGTTTTCAATGTATGCATTTGCATTTATATATTTTATCTCTTTTGTTGACAATTTCGCTTAAGGAGAAAACTGCTACTCTAAGATTCAGTTTAATATTAACAAATGTATGTAATATCAATTATGTGATCTAACAAATTTTATATCAATATTTTTCTCTTTCATATAAAATTGTTCCAAAAACATAGTATTGTGTCAATTAGTTTTAAAAATATATTCACTGAATCTTAAACTATTTATCCATGAAATTTACAATTTATTTTATTCTACAAATAAATTTTTAATTTGTGGTCTTAATTTTTTAAAGAATCATAAATTCTATTATATTTATCTGTTCGCCATTTTTATAAAGTGTAAAAAATTTTCTTAAAAATCTTTGTCGTTAAATTTTTGATAAATATAGATAGTATGTGTGTCAGGAATGCCAAGATGATTTGTTTGCCTTCATAGCAACAAAACGAATGATATCCGATTCACCCTTCATGTATGCTGTTGAAAGCGGAAGATCACGCTCTCTCATGAGAGTAAGTAAAGTCCCTGAGTTATTCTTGCTAAGTTAAGCAAGAAAAAAAGTTCTATCAAATTTGTTAGGAGATTATCTAGCTTTTCTGAATCACGTTTGCTTTCTCGCATTTTGTGTTTTGCGTACTCGCATTCGCATCTTGTGTTTTTGTACTCGTGTTAACATTTATGTTCGTTTCGTTGACCCACAGTAGATTGTCTGTAGAGTGACTATGGTGTCTGTATTCCAAGCTAGTCTGCACTTGATCCATTAGTTTATTTTGCAATTGCTGCTTCAGGATGTTTTCCTTTATCTTCTCCGACAAGCCCTCCTCCATCTTACTTTTTTTTCCATTCTTTATTCGATTTCGTCTAAATAAATATATAATAGGAATAGAACAGAAGAGTCCCACCATTAAAAATATAAATATTAAAATTTTCGGATCATTGATGTACTTATATAGGTCCCAGATCGATATTTTGGGACTTTTGCAATCGCCAGTGTCGACAATGATCGGGTAGCTACCGGGACCGTCGTTAGTGGCTATTCTGACCAAATATTTACCGCACGGCAAGGAAATTTGTGCCGATTCGCTGTCTGTTACCTGTAGTAGAAACAAGTTTCAATATTATACATGCACGAATTCGAATTATTTTAAATATCTGGTTTTTATTTTGGTTTTGACATTACTTATATAGAAAGTATAGTTTTATTCGTTCGCAAAATATTCAATCTAAACAAAATTTATAAAAATATATTTAAAAATGCACGAGATATTTTGTTATTGAAAAGAAACAGTTTTTAAAATAAATTCTAATATCACTGATATATTGCTACTAATTTTTATTATTTTATTATTTCGTTACTAATACTTCTTTTTTGTCTTTTTAGTTAGAATTCTTATTAAATTTCTGCTTTTTGAAATTTAAATATTATCCATTGTCAGAAAAATATCATTTTACTGAAAATTGTAAATATATGAAAGAAACAATAAACAGAAAACTATTGTAGTAACTATTGTGTACTATAAATGTATTTGTAAGAAACTTGATTCTATTTGATAATACCTTTTTTATTTCTTTAACTAACTTGTAAAGGATTTGAATTTATTTAAAAGTACAAAGTCTCGAAACAGTTGTAAAGAGGTTGAAATTGCATCAAGTCAGATTCGAATTCACTTGCGAAATATTTAATTACCTGGTTGCCCATAATACCGTCTCCCGTCTCCTGCTGCCAGGTAACGACGAAAGACGATTTATACTGTTTCTCTTTCACAGACTGGCGCTTAAAATAATTTGAAGTAATCCTTTCGCGTTGATCCTTCAGTTGAATTTGCCAATCCTCCCATGTAATATAGGCCTGGTAGAGAGGGCCACCGGCTTTGAGTAATTGTAGTTTTGGCCACCACTTGTCCCAACTATAATAATAATAATGATTTTATCAATAATACAAATAAGTAAGAGAAAGGAAGTTTAAAGATATCTTGTTTAAAAATTATGAAAGTAATTTTTGAAAGAAATGCTGTTTCGATTATAATATTCGGACATAATATTCTTTTGAAACAAACTCATCACAAACAACGATAATAATAATCACAATATATTGTTTTTTATTTTATGTTGTGAATATTAAACCTTTAGACTCTAACTGCTTTGAAACGTTTCTGTCAAATATAAAATTTATCTCTGTTTAGATTTTTTGTATTCTCATTTGAAATTATTTTCTTACTATATTATTTATATTATTTTTTTCTCTCTTTGTAGAAGTATTGTAAAGATCATATTAAAGAAGATAAAATACCTGTAGTGTTTGACCACGCCATCATCCGTGACGACGATGATCCAGCCGCCAGGTATCATTGCAGGCTGTTGTTTTGCGTAGAAATAATTTTCTTCTTCCCATATTCCTTTCTCATTTTTTTGCATTATTACGGCAATGTCATAGTTATTTATATGGAAAGTTTTATTTTCTTCAGGAGCTGGTAATTTGGTCGGCTCATATTTGTCTTCCTCCGTACCACGTGTTTGATAAAACGTGTACGCAGTTTTGCAACCTTGGATCTGAAACAGAAAGATATTATATTATAAGATTACAAAAAAAGTGCATAAGGAATGTATAATTTATATTATACATTATGACATCAATTTGCATGTGAGATAATAAGATAAAGTTTTATACATATATGTATATATTAATTGAATTTTTTTTCTATCGATTACCGAATCAATTACTTTATGTGATTATGTAACATTTAATAAATCTTAATTTTTTGTAGGATAATTAAAATTAAAAAAGATAGATAGCAAGAAATAAATAATTTTTTTCCCTAAATATTGAAAAAAATCTCAGTTGTTTTTACTGGAGCTAGCATTATCCGTACATTGGATCTCCTTGGGAAATTGACAGGTAATCGTTTTCAAGGATTTTGTCCTCTACTATATTTTATCTTTATTGTGTGAGATCATTCTTTCTTTCCGGTAGAATCGAAAATCCTCAAACGACAATCGAGATTTTCCTCACGCTTGGACGATTAGCCCCTTTGCCCCAAGACGTAATGAAGGACTAGAAAGATCGACCTAAGTTACCTGCGCACTTATAAAAGGTTCGGAAACTCGAAGCCGCGATCAAAGATGACGATCTGCGCGTAAATCCGTTTCGAAAAGATTTCAAAAAAAGATATAGCTGCAGTATGAATGGTGTCTTTCAAATTCCACTTGATTGTATATTATATTATTTACATTTTTATTACAACAAATATTATATAAAAATATTAAGAATAATGTAAAAAATATGAAATTATATATTTTTATTGTATTCTAATAATATTTTTATACATCTAATATTTGTTACAATAATAATTTACGTAATTTACATAATTTTTAATTAAATAATTAAAAAAAAGAAGTAAAATATGAACAAAATATAATAAATATATGTGTAAAAATAGACAGATTAAATAAAATATATAAAAGAATTAAGTATATATCTACTACATATATTATGTAGATATATTTAATTCTTTCATATATTCTATATTAAAAATTTCACATTTTGTTAAACTTGTCAACATATATATATATATATATAAACGAAATGTGAAATTTTTAATCGTATATAGTTTGCCTAAATTAAAATTAAATTAAAAATTGAAATATAATAATTTAAATACCTCAAATTAAATATAAATGGATAAGAACTTTTTTTTTACTTACATGAGAAGTGTGCTTGTATATTCGCGTACAATCGATTTCTTCTTTGTCCCAGAAACTGAAGGTTTCACAAGTATTCCAACACTGAAAAAAGAAATCTAAATGAAAATCTAATTCAATTTTAATAACAAATTTTTTGGATTTACATTTTTTAAAATTTAAAACCTTATTCATAGAAATTATCGAATTTCTGGATTTTTAAATTTCTAAATTCTCGAATTCTTAAATTTTTTTTTAAAGGATTGAGAAGTCTAGGTGGGAGAGATTTAGCGGCAAACAAAAACCTCTCACGGCATGTATGGGATGCACGAGAAGAAAGAGGAGTTACTAAAAGGAGAATGAAGAGGGAAGGTTTGATGTAGAAGAAAGGGCAAAATAAAAAAACGTTGAATCAAGCGATTTAAAGGGAGAGAAGAAGAGATGAAAAGAAGAAGAAAGAGAGCGAACACCGGGAGAAGGTAAAAAAGGGGGGACATGAGCGAAAAGGAAGGAGAACTGAATTAGCTCCAACCTGTTCCGGGCACAACAGGCATCGTCGTTGTCGTTGTCTTCATATTTATTGGGGTACCGACTCTCAAGCGGGCTCGCCCTGTTTCTAAATTCTTTTTGCCCTTTTCTTTTCATAGTCTACCTCCATCTCTCTCTTTTTTTCTCTCTCTTCCGATTCTCGATTACCCTTCTTCGTCGCGCTCTTACTAAGCTCAAGTCTCTACTTCGGAGAAACGAAAGGCCTCGTGATTTCTCGTTAATGACATTTCCCGAAAGTCACGCCGAGATGTTTCCTCACTCCAAAAGAAATTCAGGATATGGATATATTTTCATTTTATTAATTATTTCTATCACGTAAAAAAGGCTAATCACATTTCTGCTTAAAACATATACTGTATGATTTATTTATTTTTTTTTGGAATCGTTAAATTTTCAGTATTTGATTAATTAAAAAGAAATCAAATCCACTTAGTGCGCTTGTCAATCAATAATAATATTTGGGCCTAAATTATCGACTTATATATAATTTTTTTATAATTTCTTTATAAATCATTAAACAAGAGGTGTCATTCTAATCTAAAAATCAATGCTTTATTTATTTGATGGTGACTTGTAAAGTGAAATATATGGACGAAAAGGGTTGTGATTTGTCGAAGGAAAATGAGAACAATAGAGCAAGGTCAAAAATTGTAAGAAATGAAAAATAAAGAAAAAGCATTTGCTAGAAGAAAAAATATGTACACCAATGAAAAATTGTTAAATTAAATTTAACACATGTCCCAATTCACTCAAATTTATGTATTAATTTAATAAATATTTAGAGGATGTGTGTGTGTGTGTGTGTGTGTGTGTGTGTGTGTGTGTGTGTGTGTGTGTCTACGTTATATATATAAAACACAAATATTATTTTAAAAAAATAAATATAAAAAATGTAATATTTATTTATTAGCAAATGGAAACATATTCTTTTTAGAAAAATTAACATTTATATTAAATAAACACATACATACTTTATATTCATTCATTAGAATTTATGTTTTAAAACATATACTTTTATATTATTTGTTCATATTTATATATAAATTATATTATTGTGACATTAACAAGGAGTAGGCAAGAACTAGAAAATCAGTTTTCAATTAATAAAAATTTTGCGAACTTTTTGAAAGATGTTAGACAAAATATTAGACAAAGTATTATCAGTGCATGGACTTTGTTTTCTAATAAAAAATTAATTACGTTATTTAAAACCAGGTTGTGTAGTAGCCCGTATTACTCATTTAAAAAATGAGGGAAGGGATTTTCAACAAAAATCCCCAAAATTTTGGTAAGTAAATCGGGTATGCTTTATCGAATAATGATATTTTAATTTCCGGTTACGAAAATGGATTAATTAAACTGGAAGTCAATTTTTTTTTTTTAATAGAATATATTTTTTTATCACAGATTCGGTTCTACGTAAAAAAAAACATGAAACTTTTATATTTAAGATGTAGGCAGAAGCTTCTTTTATTCCGAAATTTATTATTTCTTCTATTTGTTAAAACAATCATAGTTGTGAAGTGGCCAATCTTTCCTTCGATGTCAGTGTAAGGATTGTCCTTTTTTCTCTCAAAGAGAAGGAGGAGGACGTGACCAACTGTATAGTGTTCGTTAAGAGTTTATTCCCGTCATCTCTGTAGGCTGTTATTCTAATGCGAGATGCTCCCTCGCCCCTGTATTCGTCACAGGGGCCCACGCATAAATTTGTACGTTCGGCCCCCTCGCTCTCATGAGACATAGAATCGATGGATCTCCCGAAATTAATGGACACCCCCTTTAGCATAAAATGAACAACGCCCTCGCGTGTGCGTTGTTGGACGTCCCCCGAATCCCCCCTTCGATTCTCATCCATATGTGCTCAGGGGGTGGCGACCACACCTGGTGATTTTCCACTCTCTCTCAAAATCGACACCTAAAGATTTATCGACACCCTATCCGATTTCCGACTGCAATTGGTACCTTTTTTGTCTGCATGTGTGTGTGTATATATATATGTGTGTAGAGTACACATTACGTTGCACGAACACTTTCTGTTTCTTTTTTAAATAAAAATATCTGTATAATATAGAAAATCTTGAAATATACATTGCATTTTTTATGTATAATTTTAAATAGAGGACAGAAAATTTTTATTTCACTGTGAATTTATTGGAGACAATTAAGCTTATTAATTGATCGATATTATTTTTTATTCATTTTTGCAATTATCGGGGTACTTTTTAAATTCCTGTATGTAACTTGGTTTTTTTTAAATAAAAATATTAATATTGGAATGTTTAAACACTTAAAATTAAACGATTAGTTTGAAATAGAAGAACAATTCTCTTCTCTTGAGTTTATCTCTTTATATCTTCATTTTATACACTTAAAATTTCAAATTTTATTTTAAAAAATAATTAAATAAAATATTTTTAAAATATTACCAAAAGTTTCAAATGGTAGATAATTATTTTTCCGTGGAACTAATATTTTTTTTATTTTTATTTGTTAATAATTGAAGTTTTTGATAAAATGCATATTATATTGTATGAATTTTATGTTATTGGTTTTAAACATCGATTTTAAATATGAAATATCTTGCAATAAAGATATATTATGCATATTACATGCACTTTATAGATAAATTTTGTATTGATTGAATCTCTTAGAAAAATGAAATCATAAAATCTTTAATTAACTTATCGATAAGTTGCATGAAAAATATAATATATTGTTTTATGTTTATGTTTCCTTTTATTTTAATTTCAGTTTTAGAAACAGTACAGTTGATTCATGTTGATTATAAATAAGAAGCATTATTTTCTTTGAAATTTTTCTGAAAGCGACAATCATGTGTAATTATCTCATACATATACTGATTGTGAGTACTTGCCGAAAATTCTTTAGAATAATTTAAAATATTAAAAAAGCTAAAAAAGATGATTTGATGTAAGATGTTCTTAATTACCAAATCACAGTCGTATACTCGGCTGTTGATATTATTTATATTCAAGCAATTGCCATCGACCATGTGATGTCGTAAACATGATGATCGGCACTGAGCGATCTTGATGATCGGTCCAAGATCCAGGTTGGCAGCTACCAAGGCCAAGGTCGCGCAAAATATCAGCGCTGGAAGCCATGCGATCTTCATCCTCATTCTCGATAACAAAGAATCTTATTTTTCACTTTTTTCACCACAAAATTACTATTATTATTTTCTTCCGCGATTAAAACTCCCAAGATATTTCGCGATCTAATCGAGCACAGATCGTGCCGGCAGGACACGAAGGCCACGATCGTGGATTCCACGAGCGGAATTTCGGTGCGACTGCAGTCCTTCAGGGTTTCAGAACTTCCTTATATAACCGCGCGTCTCCCACTACGCGCTTCTCGAGTTTTCGTGGGTCCCCACCCTTACTGACTTGTGAAGAAGCATCCCTCGTAATTATACGTCGTTTCTCAGCATATGGCTTGCCCCGAGGTTTCAATCCTGACCGAATTATTCGGCCTACAAATGAAATGTAGGCCAGCTTGCTTTTATTTAAAGAAGATCGCAATGTTACGAATATTTCATAGTTTGGATTAGAATATTCTTCGCAAAACAAATAATTTTTTTAAATAACGAAGGATTCTGTAGATAATAATGATAAATTGAATAAATAAATATTAATTAAATTAATAAACAACTAAATGATAGTACGAAAATGCAAGAGAATATTTAATGTAATTGATGTAGCATTTAACAATAAGTTTCTTTGTAACAGAATAACTAATGGTTTTCGTAGTAGTGATCGATAATTTTAAGTGAAAAAATAACTGATAATATTTCTTGAAAAATTTCTTTAATCTTTAAAAATTTCTTTCCTTGAAAAATTTTCCATCGATACAACGGCGATATCGTACAAAAGACAAGAAAGTAATTTTTCATAAAGTTTCGTAACTTTTCAATTAGTTTATCTTTTTTAAGCCAAAAATGTGTAACACACAATGTGTAAAATATGATATACAAACGGAAATATATTTTGTAATTAAAATTTAATATATAAATTGTAACTTTTAAATGATTTTTAATAATGTATAATTGTTATTAAATATATAATTAGTAAATGTACAATTATTATTAAATTTTTTAGTTATTATATTATAAATTAACATTAAATTCTACATTGTTACAAGATAAAGAATATGATTTCTATAAAGAATTATGATTTCACGAACGAAATTTAATTCATCCCGTGAGCAAAGTTAATTTCGATTCGTATCCAAGTGCTGCCAATGAGCAGTTTTGTTATAGTAGAAAAGTGGTTGGTTGAAAGGAAGATGACGTTTTTTGAACAATACGCTGTGCAGAAATCTCATATTATGGACCAGAGCGTAGATAATTATAATAGACTTTCAAAGAATGCAGTTATTGCACTGTTATTATGAAGACAGCAGAAATGATTTTCGCTTCATCATCTAGATATGCGTATACTCATCCTTTTTTTCGAAAAAATATGTTTACTTGATTTATAATCAAATTTGTTTAACAAGAAAGATTATTAATTATGAAGTATTTTTTGTATTAAAAATTATATTAGAGAGTTGTAGACTATTTTATTGTCGAGTATATATAAGATATCTTGAAATGTATCTATATAAATGTGTATTTATTTAACAAATATTTTAATTAAATCAGACATTTGAATGTATTTATTATTTATACACAGAATTTAAAATTTCTAAAATTATTATTGTAATATATTGCTAATAATATTACTAATAATATTATTAATAATAACTGTCTTCAACTTTTCGGATTTCTCAGAAGAAAACGGTCACGCTTCAACCTTACCATTATGGTCACGAAATTTAAGTATAATTAAGCGTTCCGCCTATCCAACATCCGGGGAGTCTTAATGTAAGAAAGAGGGTGGAGAAAGAAGATCCAGTATGAGTCCTTGAACGGAAACAGACATAGTGTGGATCAAATGATCGACCAACCCATCGAAGTTTAATATTACACTAAGAAAATTCGTTGCGTACTCCCTTTCCTCTTTATTTTATAGCAGGAACTGTCCACTATTTCCATCCATCTTTGCAATCGGAAAAGAAAAATAAAAGTAGGAGGAAAACGAAGCAAAGAACGAACGACGCGTCGCTCGCCGGAAGTCGCAGCCCGTGGGTGCTGTGCGCTACGTCACAATGCACAGGATGTGTACAAATAAGGGTATTTGTCCACGACGAATGATTGTAGGGTGAAATATACGTGACGCTAAAACGGAGGAACGAAAAAGCCGGGTTGCATCCCTCGCGCTTGTGCCTGACGGTAAAATAGAAAAGGGGCCCGAGCGATCCATTCATCTAGGCGGTATAGTTTAGGGGTGGTACATGGATCGCGAAGGCTCCTTCAATGGACGCGAGAGTGACGTTTCATTGTGGGTCGCGTTTTTCTCACACCTGGACCAGCATGGTTCAGCTCCGCATGTCTTTCGCTTCGCTTGGACAAAAATATTATTTTAACATGTCTTATTTCTGCCATGCAAACAAAACTCAAGAATAATATGTGATTTACATGTTGATTAATCACTCTCCTGATTTTCTGTCAATAACAATTGTCTCATGTAACATATAACTGTGTTCGGCATGAGTCGTTGATCCTAAATGATCTCATATAAATAACTTTTACATTAGTTTGATTGAATTGTCTTTCTCGCTTTTTCTGAAATATTAGATATTTTTTTAGAGATAATTTCTTTTTAAATATTTTTGTAATTGATAAACTATTATTACTATTGTTCTTATAAGTATAGTAAAATCCATAAATCTATAAATTTGTCTAATATATGCAAAATATGAGGAGCTTATTTTTTGATCTATTAAAAAAAAAATATTATCTTTATTTTTTTTATTATTTATTTGCACGTTTGCTTTTTTTATTCCACAAAAAACAATCATTTTCGTTTTTGTTTAATAATGTTTTCACGTTTGTGAATATTTTTGAATGAGAGTTTTGGTTGTTCCGCCGTAGATATTAGAGAAATATTTTCCTAGGATTCGATAAATACATTCTTGTCTTGTCTATTTTCACGAAGCAATAACTATTACGTCATCGCATTGCGTCTCTGCAAGTCCCGTTTCTTATGAACGTTGATTGTTTATCGGCTTTGTAATTCGGAGAACACGAGGGATTACGCAGGTCGTGCGATTATGTCCATTTTCCAGGATTTAGTTCTATCCTGTAAGAGCCAGAACTAAGATCCTCATCTTTTCTCGTCGCATTCCTCGTCTTCCTGTGATCGAGATTTAGATTCTATCTATTTTATCTCGTATTTTACTGCAACCGCTTTCTCAGTATACGCTTTTTGTTTCGTATCCTGAATGTTTGTTATTTAAGATAAAACTTTGGATCTCGCTTTGTAAAATATAAGAATTAGAAAAGAAAAATATTTTGATAATTTTTCTTATTATTTATGTTAGTCAGCATATTAATTGTGTCGCATTATTTCAGACGCAAAATTATGCAAAATCCGCAAACATAGAGTTTATTAATCTTTTGAAAATTTTGACAATTTATCACTGACTTAAGGTATCATTTGCTCATCATTTGTCGAATGATTCTAAAGACCGTTGACTAGTAAAGCAGAAAATTCAGATCGATTCGTTTCGTCGAAGAAAGAAAGCGAAAGCTTTGAAAAGCAGTTTTCGCGTCAAATGTGCTAGTGACAAATTTTTATTGTAGTCGCCTCGCTTCCTTTACTCTTCAGTTTGTGCTGCCGTGCGGAATAAGTTGCGGTACATATTTCTCTGAACGACAGGTGATGGTAAAAGTTACTATTGAAAGACCTCGGATTTCAACTTCTCTAAAGGAGAACTTTGGCGGGGATCGACACAGCTATACTGACAAATTCTCAAAAAGTAGAATTTATAGTCCATCTAGTCCAGCGCGCAGCAGTAGGATCTCAGGTCAAAAGCGTGATCGGAAAGTTTACGACTTTGTCGCGCGGGGACTTTCTGCTTTTCTTTACCCATCTTCCATTTCTTTGCGTTATATTGTGAATGCTATATTACGGCATATTACTGCAGGAGATAGTGTTAGAGTTTCAAAACTTTTCACTTTTGAACATAGACATTTTATATAATATAGGAGCAAGATGGAAATTATTTTAATTTTCGAATTTTAAAATGCACGTTAACATGCTGTGATAAATATTGAACTAACATATATACATATAACAATGTATTGTATTTCTTTAATGAAAAGAAATTATTTTTTCAGTTTGTGTAAGAGTGACTGCGTAATGATATTCATTTTTTCTCATAAAAGAAATATGTGTTATAGAAAATATATAGCGAAAAAGAATTTAAAAATCTTAAAATTCTTTTAGAATTCTTACTTTTAAAACCATTTGCATCTTTTGTTTTATATTTTTTAAATATTCATACATATTACATAAAAAACACGAAAAAATCACTGTTATTTATCCCTTTTTGCAGAAATGATTACTTTTTTTATGGAAATTAGGACAAAAAAATTTTTTTGTATCGTGTAATATATGGAACTTATTCAATGACTTTGAAAATACGAACTTTTCGAAGATTTCGATACGCTAATTACACAGTGATTTGCAACCAAGCAACCTAAAGTCTCGTCAGTCGATCCTTCCAGTCATGTTTCATCTTTCTGAAATAGAAAAGATTTATATGCTCTGACATTTTCCTTGAAGGTTTTGTTTACTCCATTGTAGGAATATGACTTTTAGTTTTTGTCTCTTTTTCTTTTATCAATATAGTGATGGTTATTATTTGTTGTGACCGAAAAATCATTACTTAGATCTAGATCTGCAATACTGCAAATTTTTATGTTGGAAAAAATTTCTAGTACTGTTAAGATATTATGATTAAAAAGCGTCCCCACATTTGTACCATGACACAATCATATTAATTCATATGCTCGTATCACATTACATATTGGAGATCGAGGAGATTGCGAATTAAAGAATTAGAAATCAATCAGATAATTTTAATTTTAATTCGTTTCGTTGTGATTGGCTGAATTCTAATTTTCAATTTACAATCCTCAATCTTCAATGCGTGACGGTTAGTATACATGATTGAATCAGCCGATTTTGAATTTTATTCTTTGTTTTCTTTGAAATATTGTGTGTGTGTGTGTGT